GGTGACGCTGTGGCTCTCTCAGGGAGAACAGGCTGAGGGTCCTTTAGCTGCTTGCAGGCAACAGGAGCAACAGCAACCCGGGCAGAGGCCGATGCGTCTCAGTGCTCAGCCTAAGAGAAGGCAGCTGCTTCCTCAGTGATAATTTTATTGAATGAGTTAATATAGAAGGGTTAAAGCCCTGCTGTATGTGTTGAATTTGGATTGTCAACACAAATATTTTGACAGTCATTCAGAAGTGGATATTGAGTGGCGTGCTGTGAAGAGTATGCAGTTCTAATAGGGAGAAAACTTGCCAGGGGACAGAGAACTGAGAGGAGGAAGAAAGAGTTAATGTTCAGCCTCTCGAGAATGTTGCTTGAGTTTATCAAGCAAAGAGTGGAAGAAGAGGGTTGAGCAGGATGCTGGCAGGAGGCTTCACGAAGTGCTGCACTATGTAGTGTCATCTATTGCTCAGAAGACTTGGAGGCACGATGTAAAGTTCCTGACAGGAGCAACATGAGAAGTGGTTAGCTGCATCTATGAACTGAAGGTGGTGCGTTTGGGAAGGAAAAGGTTAACTGCACCAGCAAGTCTGAACTGTAAATTATCTCCAGAGCTTTATCTGCAGCCTCTATCTCCTGGCAAGTCTCACCCATGAGCAATGCCCCACCGCCCCTCTGCTGTAACATGCTGGGCAGCCTTCTGTCCCCGTGCCCCAAAAGGGTTGTAGGCGAATGGGGCTCCCCTCCAAGGGCTTCACTTGTACAGGCATTGGTTTATCCAGAAACACATTTATGAATTCACACATTTGTGATATTTTGCTCTGGAAATGTTTCATAGTGGAATATAGTCATCTGGGAAAAGCTGAATTGTGCAGGTTCCCCTTGAAAGCCAAGTATATTCTCTTAAACTGTAGTTAATGGTGACCTTTATTGACTTTCATGTGTTACATATAGTCTGGTATGTTGCTTTGCATGTTGTATATCCTAGTAAAGTCTTAAGATTTGACACTGCCTCCATATCAATTTTTGGCCAGGCTGTTTTTGCTAATATATTGACTTTCCTGGAGATACTGTGTTTCAGTGTGTACCATGTGCTTTCACTTGTTTTAAAATGGGAAAAACTCAATGGCGTGGACTTTTACTTCTCATTCTAATGTATGTTGAACATTGGCTATTAGTACCATGTGTTTTATGACTCCCAACGTTCATCTGGAATTTCCACTCCTTAAAGTAAATAGGAACTTTGTTCTCATCCACAATCTCATTCTAGAAACAGTATATTATTATGTTTAGTAGCAACAGCGTAAGCTCAGCTAAGGCTCTCTTTTAACTGTTTCTTCCCTTGGTCCTGAAGTGAAAAAGGATAGCTGCAAAAAGAAGGGGTTTGCATGGTTTTCTTCACTTAAACATAAATTCTAGACCCTTTGGGGACTTTTCTTATATATATATATATATAAAAAAAAAAGAGGTTTTGTTACTAATTTCTCTTTCATTTTGTCAGACTAACACGTCAGCTCTCTGTTGTTTCAAAGGGTGTATTCGAGTCATCAGTGTGTCAGGCTGATTGAAAACTTCATGCTCTTCTCAGCTATTCCAGAAAAAAGGAAAGTGACATGAACTATTGCCTTAGTGTAGCTAAAAGCACAAATAGATTTTTTGCTATTTTTAACGTGCAACTAAATGAATTTTAATAATTTACCTGATAAAGTCTATGAAATGACTTGTCCCATTGCCAGACATATGCACTGCAGACTAAGTTTTCTTTCAAGTACTTTTATATATTTCTCAGATTTACCAATGATAATAGAGAAGTTGAAAGTTGTGAAATCTGTTCTAAGCCATGTCAGATGTACAGTATCAAAGGAAAATATGCAGGAGGATATATCAGAAAAACTAAACAGATGATGAGTAACATAGAAATACGGAGACAAAATGGGTGGCCTGGCAGCATAAACCGCAGGTGTGTGAGTAGGACTGCAGAGCCTGGTGAGGAGAGGAGAGGCACTGGCATCATTCACCAAGTACCAGTGCAGGAGAAAGCACAATTCTCAGATGAAATTTTGAACTTGTCGAATCATGGGATTTTTTTAGCTTTTGCATTCAGTGGGATTAGGGTTTGACTGCTGACCTCAGAACTCCTTTGAAATGAAATAACTCTATTACTCTTTGGCAAGGCTGAAAGCTTTAGACAAGAATGGGAATATCTTTTTTTTTTTTTTTTTGTGTCATCCACTGAACATTTCCTATTTGGCAATCATAATGACAAGCTACTGTTTGGGTACTAGATGATTTTGCCTTCAGGATGAGTGGAATGTTAGTATCTTCTTTTGCGAGTAAGACTCAAAAGTGCTACGTGCTCCTCACTGAGTGGGTAACGCGGGTGCATTTCCTCTTTTCCCCCCTTTTCTCAAGTGACACATTTCAAGTTCAAGCACAGCTGCGTATGCAATGATCCATTTGTTATTTTAAGCACGATATTTGGATACAATTTAGATGTGTAACAATCTCTGATTGCCTCTTGTACTAAGATAAGTATAACCCTGGGAATGTCATCAGCTACTGTCCAGAGGCAGCATCGATGCTTAGGGGAAGCCCTGGGGAATATTTTTGCTGTGGTCCCAGCCTGCAGAAGGTTGTGGAAGGAGGGGACTTGGGGGAGTGAAAAATCTTGTAGCTCTCCAGCAGCCTCTCTAACTGGAGCTATTGGTGGCTTGGCAGTGAGCAGGACATTCTTCTGTAGATTCATATTTAAGAAGCATAGGTCACTCTGAGGCTGCCAGCGTCAGCACTAATTCAGGATGAGATGTTACATACCTGCAGGAGGATCACTTTTCTCAAACCCTGGCTTAAGGCTGAACAGAATTTAAGAATATTGTGAAACCCGAGTTCTGCAGAACTGTTGCCAAGCTCTAAAGCCATGGGCTGCGTCACCATCTAGCTGCTGCTTTCCAGTGGGCGGACTGTCCCCAGCTGTAATCCTGTTCGTCTCCTCCTGAGTCAGAGGCTGCCTCGGCGGCAGTCTGGTTGCAGCAGCTCTGGAAGGCGAAGTTCATTCATTGCGCTTTGTGCCTGGACGCGCGCGGGCTGCGGCCGGCTCCCTCCCCTGAGGTGGGTGCTGGGCCAGGCTGCTTTTTAGAGTCCCACGACCAAAGGCAGGGCAGCAATTTAACAGAGCTGCGCCTCTCTAAAAGTGACTGCTTCAACGTGTACGAACACTTTGCTGGGTAACTGCCAGCAACCTTGGTTATTTCAACCGGAGGAAGAGGATGTTGAAGATGTGGGGGTGGTGGTGGGAGTGGGTGGGCCCCTTTGGTGCTGCTGAGACCTTCCTCGCAAAGCATTTGTCAAACAGCCGCAGGCCGGGTGGGACAGAGCAGATCCTGTAAGTAAAGCCGGGTGGCGGGAGAGCAGTCGCTCCCTTGGGATGAAGCTGGGAGTTTTCCAGCAGACTCCCTTTGAACGGCCCTTGCTGGAACCGCTGTGGGTGGCTTCGGATCTGTGCAGGACATTGGCTCCTTCCCGGGGTGTGCCCCAGCCCTTCTCACTGCTAGTATGTTCTCTCTTGCAGGTGTTTGATGCCAGTCTAGTGGGCAGTCCCTGGGGCCATCCTGCCAGCCTGGAGCGTCATGCGCCACTATGAATGTTAAGGAAGAAAAGTGCACTTCAGGGCTCAGCATCCGAGAGAGAAGACAGCAGGAACTAAGCAGAAAGAACAAATGACCATTCTGCATGCAAAACTTCGCACAGTTAACTTTTTATCCTGAGAAATTTTATCTCAACTGTTGTGAGAGAACTGAAAAAGCAGAGCAGTAACAGGAATTTTCTTAGAGGCTTTATTTTACTTTTTCTTTCCTTTTTTTTTTAAAAAAAATTAAATTTTCCTCTTGTGCTTGGATTTAAGACCGTCAACTGCACTGATCGCAAGCACTGGACATCAATATGTGTCATGTCATTGTAACGTGTCGGTCGATGCTGTGGACGCTCCTGAGCATCGTGGTGGCTTTTGCAGAGCTCATCGCTTTCATGAGCGCAGACTGGCTCATTGGCAAAGCCAAACCTTTAAGCTCTGAGGATGTGGACAGCGGGACAGGAGGGTCGCAGGAGCCCTACCGCCCGACACTGGGCATCTATGGGCGCTGCACCAGGATCTCCCACATGCAGATATCCAGACGAGACACACTCTGCGGCCCTTATGCTGAAAATTTCAATGAGATTGCCAGTGGGTTCTGGCAGGCCACTGCTATTTTCCTAGCTGTGGGCATCATGATTCTCTGCGCTGTGGCATTTGTGTCCGTCTTCACCATGTGTGTGCAGAGTATTATGAAGAAAAGTATTTTTAACGTCTGTGGGCTGCTACAAGGGATTGCAGGTATGTAGACTTTGAAAGCAACGGAAAAAACTGTTTTGTGTGTGCGCCATTCAGCTTCAGAAATTCAGAGATTGTGTCTGTCTAGAGGCTGACTGCATTTGATGGACCTGAGAGCAATTCTATAGGCGGGTGTTTATTTAAACACAGCTGAAATTCATAGTTGTGCGGCTTGTAATGCATTGACATTGGCAGCAGGATCACAGCCTGTTGTGTGCCAGAATGAACTGACCAGTGTTTCTTTTGTTTGCTGTTCAGGTTTCTTCCTCTCTCTAGTTGTATGTCAGTAACAAGAACTTCTCTCCCTTGTTATCAGCAGAGAGCAAAGTTAATACCAATATGAAGGGAGTGCATCTCCCATTGGCTGCTGCAGTAGTTTTCCCTTCGAGGAAAGGCAGCTCTGGGTGCCTCAGGCTTCCTGCCTGTGGGAAATACCACTCCCAGTGATAAGAGCAGCCTGCAGAATCCCACACTCTCTTCTCCCAGGTTTTATGTGAAACCACCTCCTCCCAGGACGGGAGTGTGACGACAACACCTTGTCATAAAACTTACCTTTAGCCAGGTTGTTGTGGAGGTGAGCTCAGTGAGTTTATGTCTTTATTATTCAAATATTAGCTTTACTCTGCATGAGCAGATGAATTGGTTGTAGGCATTTTGTCATCCTGCTTGTGACTGTGTGTACTACAGAGATGAGGTGACTGCTAGGTAGATTGAGACTGGAAAATAGAGCTGGAGCAGTTCTTCGTGTTCTCGCTAGTGAGAATGGAGGCATCCTGTGCCATATGCATTTTTTAAATTATTTTTTAGTATTTGCCTGTGATCGTTTTAAGGAAAAAACTTGGTGTTGTAACTCTGGCAACCTTCAGAGAACCTGTGAGGAAGGAGGGGATGAATAGGGCCACCTCCTCCTTCCTTCTGTTTGGTGCCCTTAAATAGATATTTAAAAACATAAAATGGTTTGTTAAACCATTTTAACTTTTTGTTCAAATCCAGCTTCTCCAGTGCTCCCCTGGGAATGCAGTCAAGCCCTGAGCTATTGGCTCTACCTTGACACGAGCTGTACTAGTAGAAGTTCAATCTCTTATTAAGTTGGGTGGTTTCATTTGCTTACTTGAGGACTGAGGGAACCCTTCTAGGTGAACGCAGGGACTCACGCGAGTAGGTGGGTGTTTATGGGGCAGTTTATGAGGAGCTGGGGGCTCCGTCGGGGCAATTTATGAGGACCTGGGGGCTCCGTCAAGGCAGTGCCTAAGCCATCCCTGCGGGGAAGACAGCAGTGGCCAGGGACGCGGCCAGCCCCAACCCGACACAGCTGCCTGGTCGCAGCTTCAGTGTGAGAGTGTGTGCTGCTTATTTCGTGACCTCCACAACGCCAGGTTTGTGCTTCTGAGGCAAGATTAAATCCCTAAATGATTATGGCACATCTGTTTGTTTAGACGATGGTATATAATCAGCAGAACAATGTACTGTAAATAAAAATGAGATGTTTTGATGTAGCCACTGCTGGTTTACAGAATTAGCCAGCCCCAGCTGAGCAGGTCAGCCGTGCACATCAGAACTAGTAGTCGGTTTTAGCACTGTGCTTGCCTATCTTACCACTTCAGAAATAATCCAGAAAACCTCGTTTCAAGAGATAATATTTTATCTTTTCTATTAGAGGTGTATTTGTAGAGGAGGGAGGAGCAGTTACCAATATAAGCAAGTGTTGGGACATCTCAGGCCTTTGTTTCTGCTGAGACGTTAACTGTACTTGCAGTGCTGGTACCATTTCTGGATATTTATAAATGGCAAACATCAAAATAATCAGGAAATCAATTGCTGTATTGTAGAAAACTGTTGTGAAGACAGTTTCTGAGAAGTATGTGCAAAAACAGTTTTACATTTTATTATCAACTAGTTGTGCCTGCGGGGCAGTAATCAGGGCTCCACAATTGAACAATATGGTAGATGAATCATTTCTCATTCGTTAGGGGAGAGATCAATTCTTTTTTGATCTGTATGGAGAAGGGAAGCATTTCCCTCCTTATAATTCAGATAAATGCCACAGTGTGAAGCTGGGTAATTGAAAGGTCACGTTACTGAAACTGCTGCTCTGAGAAGCAGCCTGCCAATATTTTCAGCCAGGCATCTTGTGGCTAGCAACTCGTTTTCTCAAGATTAATTTTATTGGGTCCACTTCTACTTTTGTGCCAGTAGCATTACAGCATCTGCTTACTTATTTGAAAGTATGTTCCTTATGACTTGCTACAGCTTTTGATTTCATCTTTCTTAGTCCTTGTGTTTTGGAAAACACTTAAGCGAATGCTTCCAGAAAGACAGTCATACACATAGCTAATCCATGCAAGGTTGCCGATATCTAGACTCATGTCCTAGCCAGAGAACAACTAGATACAGCCCAGCTGATCATCTTAAAAACGTTATTTGAAATGTGACCTTTTTCTTTAACAAATGTAAGAAAAGAATTTGCAAGTTAGTTTGTATATCAATGTGTATCAGTCCAATATTTTCAAATATGCCAAATACCTCATTTTCAAAGATGACATGCACCCACAGTAGAGTCATCTACAGGAACTCAGAATTTTGCAGACTTAATCTCATTTAAAATCTCTATATCATTGCAATGGAGGTTTAATATAATTAAAAACATACAGCCAGTTAATTTATCCCTGGAATTCATCATGAAAAAACAATAACAGACACCGGATATATCATTCCTGTCTAGCAACACTGGTTGTGACCTGGCTGGTGCCTAAGGTGAAATTACAGCGCTAAAAGCTGCATCTCCTCTGCCATGGCACTTGTCTAATGCCTGCCCTTGGATATCTCTGCGAACTCCCGTTGAGGTCAGTGGGAGGGAGCCACACACAAATCTGGTCCACAGGGTTTTGTTTGTTGCAGAAAGCCAGAAATATAAAACTATAAAAGAAGAAAATATGGCTCTGTTTAAAATCCTGAAATTCCTTTGTAGTGGAGCAGGACTTTTACCATTTGTTTTTACACAGCAGCATCTTTTGTTCTGGATATGTAGAAATGGTAATTCGTGGTCATGATTTTGGGGCTTTTTGAGGCTGGTTTGCTCTAGAAAAGAATCTTTTCTTTGCAATAGAGAAAGGAGCTATATAATTAAGCAGCTAATTATTACCTAGCAGCAAGAAGTCCAGGCACTCATTAATTTGAATGCCTTTTTAGGGCAAATATTCTATTTTTACAGCCTGTGAATCATGTGGAAGGCAGAGGGTAGGAGATGCAGTAAGATATTATATAATGGTTGATAAGAAATAACTCAAAGTAAATTTTCACAGTAGTCATTTAGTAAGTAAATGATCAGGAATCCCTTTTTGACATATTGTAGGGCAAATATATGGTAATTACACACAGTGTTCACAAGCCTTACTTGCTGTGCTTAGCTATGGAATATAAACGCATCCATGTTCTCAAATATCATCTCAGGGAACTGCATGCAGCTGCTGGGCACCCTTCTCATGGTTAAAATGAGATTTCTTTGCGGAGAAGCTGGGGTATCGTTGCCTCTCCTACCACTTTACAGTGCTGCAACAGGGCTGTGTTAGCAGGCAGAGAACACGTCCTCCACCCCAGGCATGGCTGAAAGCTACTGGTGTGGCCACAAGGCAGCCAGCTGCCTGTGCTCCAGGACAGAGAACAGCCCCAGGATGCCAGCGTTGCACGTGTCCCTGGGTTTGTGCAACGGGGAATGGCAGTGTCTGCGGCGAGGCCGGCTGCGCCTCTGTCACATGCTGAGGGGTGTCTGCGCTTTGCTCTGGGGGAAGCGTGACTGTCTTGTGGTCACAGCTGGCATCAGCATGCTGGCTGTTAACAGCCGTGCTAAAGGGGAGTGCTTAGTCCCGTGGGCCAGAGGTTTGTCTCAAAAGGTTGCCAGAAGCGGCCTGGGAAAGCAAGGTGCCCCCCACTGAAAGTTTCCTTGGGTGCTCTCTCTTGTGACCAGGTGACACCCAGCAGATTTGGGGCCCTGGTCCAGAGCAGTTTTTCCTATGGGACCTGAGTTCTCTTTTAGCGTTGTCAGGGAGGCATCTGAACTTCTTCTCACATGAAAGGTTTTCAGTACCAGGCTTCTGCATTCTCCTCAGCAAGCACTGAGGTTTCCTTAACATTTCACCCTATTTTCCTCCTTTCCAGTGTTTCCTCCTGTACTTCTGCCTTTTCTGCAAGGCAGGTTTCTCTTGGCGCTTGTCCTGCTCAGTCTCAGACAGCATGGTCTCTTTCCACAACCCTCTCCCTTTCCGGCTATCCACACAAGATCTCCTCTGTTCTTTCTTCTGTCCTTTCTGTGCCCTCATCTCTCCCTAGGTATATTGCTGTTCCTGCCTTCTGCCCCTCTCGCTGGGATCACTTGACGGCTGCTTTGATCTGGAGCCAATGCAGTACCTGAGCAATAGCACAGTTAAAGCATTTTTACCCTCATATGCCAGGAAGCTTCTTTACAGTTTTCTAAAATATAGGGATGAAACAGTTTGAATTCAGCTGTGTCTACAATAGTGTACTTGTGCTGCTAGAAGGGTTTGTTTTATGCTTCTTGCACTAAGATAGTTTAGTATGTTAGATATTTATTAATCATTAGGAGTTTGGGGTGATGAAGAAGGTGATGGAAACCATCTGAAGGTGAGAGACCCATGCGGGATTGCTCGTGGGGGTGTATGAAGTAGGCTGCGGATGTGCCGAGCGCTTCCCAGGAGGATACGGAGGAGGAGGAAGGGCGCCCCAGGGCTCAGGCGCTGGGCTGTGTGAGGAGGGCTGGGAGTTGCTGAGGAAGCCCGGGAGGAAGCAGGAGCCGAGCCAGAAGTCACTGCTGAGAGGGCGGGGGGAAAGCACAGAGCGCTCCGGCTCTCCCAGGCAAGGGAACTTCTTGTTTGTCTTTCTGAAATGTAGTGCACACGTTTTTCAGAAAGCGTATTTCCTCTTGGACGTGGCTTAGGATTTTTCTTTTCTCATGCCAGAGTTGCACTTTGTTGGGGTGGGAAAAAAAA